TGTTGAATTTCTTAATCTTTTCCCGGAGTCCATGAAACTTGTGTTCATGTTCATACTTATTTTTTTTTATTGCTATCTGGTTGTAATAGTTCCTCGGCATTGTCTTCAATTCCTGATATTCTCTCTTCTGTGTGGGCTAGTCCATGAGAGATGCTTTCTACTTTATTTTCTCATTTGGTTTACTGAGTTTTTCATTTCCAACATTTCAACTTTTTCCCTCCCAAAATCTCAGTATCCTTGCTCAACTTCTCCTCTGTATTCTTGACTTAATAATACAGACCTTGAATTAACTACTTTACTTCATTCAGCTGTGTGAGTCCTCTTTGAGGTCACAGATCATTTTTTGTATTGCATTTCAGTTATTGGGGGGTTATTAACTTTTGGAGGAGTCATATTGCCTTAGTTTTTCATATTTCTTGTGTTCTTGCATTGCAATTTGTGAATCAGTCGGAATTGCTGTCTCTTTTGTTTTTGTTGGAATCTTCTTAGCAGAGAGTATTCTCTTGAGTTCATGATCCCTACTGTCTCTCAAACAAGAGACAACAGGCAGTACCAACAATTACAACAATTCAAAAACATTAGATATTTAAGTGTAGTGTAAAACAATTAGAAACAATTGGATGAATTCAGCAAAAGATACAATTGTCAAAAGAAAATACAAAAAAATAAAAATAGCAAAAAAATAACCACAACAATCCAACTACAACTGCTGCTACAAAAAAAATTAAAATAAAATATATACCAATTTTTCTTTCTTGCTGAGGGAAAGGAAGGTGGGTTATTACCCTGCCTGCTTTGTCTTTTTCAGTTTACTTTGTGGAAGGGCAGTTTGTTGTTTTTCCTCTCTGAATTTGTAAGAAGTTGGAGTGGTGGAGTAGGTTCAGGGACTGAGTCCTGACTTGCCTTCCATGCTGGGTTGAATTCAGTACAGTGTTTTTCTGTAACCAGTCCTTCTGTTGTAGGGAATATAGGACCCACCCTCAAAGAGTTCCTGGTCTGAGCAGAGGATCCCTCAGATTTGTCTCTGCCTTGTTGATTTATCATGGCAAATAAATTCCTCAGCACTTCCCCTGGAAGTGTGCAGTCAAGACAATGCAACTGGCACTGGCCGGGCAAGGCAGGGAATTCTAATTATCCTGATTGTTTAAGCCTCACAATTCTGTCTTAGCAGACAGCTTATGTTTTTCCTCTGACCAGAATTCAGTTTGTATTGTAGTTCCATCTCTGCTACCTCTGCAGTAGTCCTCACTTGCAGCCCTGTGGCTATTGTTTTGGTGATTTTACTCTTTCTCTTGCAGCTGAGCTCCATTTGGCACTTACCTCCCAAGTAGATTCTGTTGGTGAATCTGATGCCAAGTTGTTCAGTTAGGTAGTGGGGGGCGGGGAGGGATGCCTTTGGGTATTGGAAGTACATTTTTAGTTTTATAAAAAAGAGCCTGGGCTCCTTCCCTCATGTCTGTGTGCTGTGCAGTATGTAGAGCTCCCTCCTGGATTTTTTTTTGGAGTGTGCCCACTGGCATATGGCTGTGAGTCTTCAGGAGGCTTGCTTTTGTCTTTTGCTTGTAACCCTCCTGGTGAAGAATCTTGTCCTTCTCTACCATTTTGCTTAGTGCTCTATGTTAAGAGCTCACTGTTTCCTTTATAAAGCCAAAGTTCAGGATTTCTGTACTCATCTGGATTCAGTGTACTGTTTACTGATGCCTTCCCTTGCTTTTCCTGACCACTGTCCTCTCCCTCATCCACAAACCTGATAATTTTGTTTCAGGTTTGTTGAGATGTGGGAAAGTGTTTGCTGTCTTTAGTCTGCCATCTTAAGTCTGCAAAAGCTAAGGTTTTTTATTTGTTTGTTTGTTTTTGTGCACTACTGGGGTTTGATCTCAGGGCCTCTGATTGATAGGTAGCCATTCTATCACTGAACCATACCACCAGCCCAAAAACTAAGATTTTAAGTTTTTCACTTCACATCAAAACTGGGTGCCTAATGCTTTGAACTGTTAGACATGAAAGTATTACAATGAATCTGGGTAGTGAGTGAAGTTCCAAAATGGTTTCATGGAATTATTTGGCCCCATCAATTCCAATTTAGAAAGTGTAAAGTAAAAAGAGCAGATATAAAAACAAACATCTTAAATAGAGCTTTGGACTTGTCACAATACATTGTAATTTTAGAAATACTTGTGAAATTAACCTCTCTTTTTTGAGGGGGAGAGATAAGGTACCTGGTGGACGAGATTACTTGTTGGAAGGTTACTGGGGTGTTACACTTAACAAAGAACTCAGATTGGCCTGGTTCAGGTCAGATGTACATCCTTAAGCTAGTCAACAGTGAGGAGAGAATTTTTTACAAAGCACTTAGCTCCTGCTGGAGACACAGGGTTGGCAGTGGAGACACAGTTGCCTGAAGAAGAGAAAGCTGAGTAAGGACACAACTTTATCACCTGGTTGAGATGGTATGATGAACTTTTTAAAAGATAAAACCAATCACAGTAATTTCCAAGATAGGACAAGGTAAGCAAAGGCACATCAGGCATACAGAAATTTGTTTCAATTTTTAAGGACGATACGTCTCATCAGCAAGCAGAGGAAGTTTCAGAACACTGCTGGGGGCTGCTAGAGTGGCTCAAGTAGTAGAGTGCCTGCCTACCAAGTGTGAGGCCCTGAGTTCAAACTCTTATACTGCCAGGAAAAAAAAAAAACAAAAAACAACAAAACAAAACAAAAACACTGCCTAACTAGCCCTAGATGTTCTAGGAATATTGAGATAATACAGGTAAAAGTTAATATCTGTAGGATTAACAATTATCCTAGTCAATTCTATTAGTCAAGTCCACTAGGTACATTAAAGTAAAAACAACTTTCAAAAATTCACAGAATTGTTGATATTTGCAGCAAGTAGTACTTGAAGCAAGTCAAGCTAACTAAATTCTTCTGTAAAAAGAAGTGATCCGTTCATGAGTTTATCTAAAAGTAATAATTTTAGATTTTAGCCCTTTGAGGTTAATTAAAGGAAATCTTGACAACTGATATTATCTTTTCATTTTTTTAATAACAAAGTATCATTGAAAATTTAGCAAAAACCTTATACAGTGTTCAATCAAAAGAAAACAAGCTGATATTTGCTGTGAAGTTTGTTTTTCAGGTCCACCAGGAATGTACAATGACTTGAGATGAACAGGATGCATCCTGAAGGTTCCCACATGGAAAAGTAGATGCACATAGACATGATTTATGCAGGGGCAAGCAAAATTCCTACTACATTTTGAAGTTTTCCCACATTAAAGGTCAAAATTATGTTTTTCCAATTTTCAGGGAACTATTAAGTATTCAATACTCTATTTTTCAAAACAGCATAGCAAACTGAGATTTTAAAGTAAAGGTATTCCTAAAGAATGTTTACCAATCAGGAGGGAGACTTCAACATGTTTCTGCAGTCAAGTATGTAAAAAATTTTGGCATGTTGCTATCTTTCCTTTACAAAACACATAAGTTAAATTCCCTTATTACAAAATAAATGCAACTAACTTTGTCTGACTAGGTATTTCCCAAGTATATTTGATCAAGGAGCACTCCTCCCCTTTTTTTGAGACCTCAAACTTGTAATCTTCCTGCCTCAGCCTCTTCAGTGCTGGTGTTATAGGTATGTGACATCACAGCCAGCTCAAGGAAGCCTTTCTATGACCACGTATCATATACTAAGGAAATGATGTTCTAGAGACATATTTTCAGAAATGCTGCTCTGTGGCACATAAATATTACAACTCCAATGAGTTAATCAACTATAATTCATTTAAGTATATTAAAAGAAATTAATAAATGATACACCTCAAATTTTTTTATTAAAGAATGAGTATTAGTGCAGAAATCCCACCTCTCCCTCCTTTCCTCTTTTCCTCCTTCCCCCTCTCTTTATAAACCATGCTGAAACAGACAGACATGAGAAAATGCCACAAAGACATTACCACAGTACAAAAATTGTAAGTGCATAAAAGGATTTTAAAGATGAGAGGACTGTCAACATGAACAGAACTGCTAAGTAAAGAAATGAACCAAGTTATTTGTGGTCCCTTAAGAGAGTCCTCAGAACTAGTCTGTGACGGGTCATTTACATGAGAATGATCTTTCAGTTAATTATTAATTCTGAAGACGTGAAAATATGTCACCATTTATAACATTATTTTTCTAAAAAATAATTGTTAAGAATTATACAATAAATATAATAACATACTAACACAGAGAATTAATCTACTGGCAATTATGGATAGACTACAGTCAGTTTCCTGGAGCACTTATCATGGTCATGTGACATTGCATGGCTTTTCTGACCTTTAGCATTTTCTCAACTTGATAGGCCCACTTTCTTATCACAATTCCTAATTTGAGCAATGTTGATCAGCAAATTTCTTAAGTCTTTATTTGGAAGTCTAGGTTGGATAGATAGAATGAAAAAAATAAATGCCATTTTACCTAAATCTCAATTTCTTTTTTCTGTTATTCAATATAGAAATATATATTTTAAAATACTTCAAGATATGGACAGAGAGCTGGAGGTGTGGTTCAGGAGGTAAAGCACCTGCCTAGCAAGTGTGAAGCCCTGAGTTCAAACTCCAGCCCCACCAAAGGAGAATAAAGCTATCTAAGGAACTATATAATAGGTTAATTCCCAAATGACTCTGGGGGCTTTCTGGTTACAGTGCAGCAAGGTGAGCCTATAGCATGCAAATGCCCCATCTTCTGTATACTAACACTGAGCAGAAGAGGCAACACTGAGGGAAAAAAAATGCTTCAAAGAACATACAGAAAAAGAAAAGGCCAGGTGCTGGCAGCTCATGCCTGTTGTCTTAATTACTTGGGAGGCAGAGGTCAGGAGGATCATTGTTCAAAGTCAGCCCTGGGCAAATAGTTCGCAAGATCGTATCTTGAAAATACCCAACACAAAAAAAGGGACTGGCAGAGTGGCTAAGTGGTAAGAGCGCCTGCCTAACAAGTGTGAAGCTCTGAGTTCAAGCCCGCTGCTGCCAAAAGAAAAAAAAGATAAGGCACTAAGTACCTTTTACAATGTTGTAATAATTATTAAGTCCTCTGTATGAAAATCTGGGAAAAGACAAAAAGCAAAACTAGTTATAAAAGAATGTTTATATTAGCAGTCTTCTGTGATGCATGAAAAACTGATCAAAAATCGCCTAGGGCTTTATGAAAGAGCATGGATTCTCTTTCTGCCAATGTCATTACTTGCTGTGGCAGCTTCTTGGTTGTCTACCTTGACTTTATACTGTAGACTAATGCGTGAGGCCTTGTGCTAACATCAATACTTCTCTTTTACATAGCATAATGCTTTCACTGCTGAGCCACGAAGTATTATCACAAATAAATTGTAACTGTATTCGTCATAAATAGACATTAAGAAAGTTCATTTTGCTTAACTGAATTTTGAGTTTTCTAAATTATATTTGTTCACTCACCCACCAATATGAAAAATCTAGTAATTTGTAGAAGGCTTCCTAGTGTTAATGCAAATTAGTAATGTTATAACTTAATTCAAAAGCAATTATTTTTTAAAAATGAGACACATACCAGCAAAACTTAGCATCAACGAAACACTTCTGGCATACCATGGACAAAACACTAACTGTACTGTAGTATGTAAAGGCACTTTATGAAAAATCCAAATAAAAATTACTCTCAAAATATTTTGTTCATTGGAATTAGTTTATAAATGGAAATCTGTATTTAATGAGATGACTTTAGACCTTTGGGCTAGAATCTCACAACCAGAAAAGTAGCAATTTTAACATGAATTTCTGATACTGTCAGAAAGTTTTAACTTTTGGTTTGGAGAATCTTATTGAAACAATATATGAAAAAAGCTATAGTGGTAATAGATGTTGAGTCTACAAATAAAAGCTACTCCTTTAAATTTTTTTTTGTATGAATAAGACAAAAATACTAAGCATTTTCTATTCCTCTACCCTCTGAAATTCCATGATAAACCAGAAATGGGGGAAAGAAAAAAACCCAAAAAACCCATAAAAGTTAACTACTTGTAGCTGGCTGACTATGAAAACCCTGGATGCAGCATTAAGAAGATGAGATAGTGTCACTGAATGCTAAAGAAAAATGACAAACACCTGCAGATGTTTTGCTACTGCTGCTTTAGTAACTTTGAAATAGCACACTGGACTATCTTCCTAGTGATGTTACTGAGTAGTTAGAACTACAAAACTAGTGCTGTGAGCTGCTAAATACTTATGGTGCGCCTGGTGATTCCCTTCACATTCAGCCACAGCTAAGATTTTGGATGTCATCAGCACTGTCCCCACAGGTGCATGTTCTCCTTTGGGTATATGGGAAGCTGTACCATGGGGATCAGATTGTTGCATGTGCTCTGAAACATCACTAAGCAGGGCTGGCAGCTAAGGAAAAAATGACAGTGAAGAATGCTTTACTGTGCATTTCCACAGACACAACCACTGTTCCATGCCCACCAAACTCAAAGGAACAGGAAGCTCCTCTAGCTCACATAACTGTACATTCAGAGCTCAGAGCAGCATTTTCTCCACAGGAATAGAACGTACTATGCATCAGTGTCCATCTTCTTCTGGAATCCTTGATGGGATTTTAGTTTAGAAGGAGAAACAGGACCCAGATGCTGAGTGATGGCTTCAGCAACATCACGTGAGGTGGCTTTTGGGCTTGCCATGGAGTTTGAGTTTCTTCGTTGTGAGCAGCTGCGCCAGGCCATTGAGAAATACCAGAAAGATTGTCATGGACATCACAATCACATAGTGGCTGATGCTGCAAAGGAGAAAAAGGAGCGCAGTATAGTGGCAGAGAGAACACTGACAGGAAAAACTAAGGGTCCTCTAAATAATGTCATCTTTATTATTTATTTATGTTTTTGGTACTGGGGATCGAACCCAGGGGCTCACACTTGTTAGGTAAATGCTCGACCAATTGAGTCCCTAGCCCTTCTGGTTTGGTTTTGTTTGGGATTTTTTGTTTTTGAGATAGAGTTTTGCAGACTTTTGCCTGGGCTGGCCTCTAACTCATGATTCTCCTGCTTCTAACTCCTGAACATCTGGGATTATAGGCTTGTGCTACCATGCCTATCTAAATGGGTAGATAAAATACACAGAAATATAAAAGGTGCCAATAATTTCAAAATTGGTTTTTTAAAACTCACAGATTTGTTATATAGCAATATACGTAATTTTGGTAATATATTAATTAAAATATATTAATTAATGCATATTAATTTTTAAGCCCTAACAACACAAACTACCCTTATGGTGAAAGTTGATGAGCATGTTTGAGATGTTACAACAACTGCAGTGTGACTTTGTCACCTGTAGAAATTAAATTCAAAAGCTTTGAGAAAATAAAGATAATTTTCTGCCTCCAGTTCTCGGAACCTGTGAATTATATCCACAGACTCCCCAAGGCACCCCCCACTTTAAGTATTCTGACATTTTAGAGCATGGCATCCTATCTTCTGAAATAAGTTAGAAGCATTGTGGCAAAACTATTAGCCACTATGAAAGAATAATGTTACTCAAACTCAAAGTCAGTGAAGTAAAATATTTATTCAAGGAAAAAAGGACACATCTCTTTATTAACCCCACAATCAAAGATTCTGCATTCCAGATTTTTGGAAAAAAAATAAGTACTACTAAAATTACTTGTTTTCATTTATCAGCAACAGCAAATGCTCAGTTTTCCTTTTAAAACACAGTAATTGTACTGTCTGCATAGCTCATGGCTTGATAAATTCAGAAGTATGGGAAGAAATGTAGGCTACAGATCTCTACAGTACGGCAGAGGCTTCATGCAACAACATTAGTGTATAGTACTACCCAAGCCAAGCAACAGTGCACATTGGCAAGTTACCTATTTTCAATGCCTATCAGAGTTACATTTAGTTTTACAATAGATTTGTATGTTTTACATTCTTCACCAGAGAGAGGGGGAAAACACGTTAGTAAGTCTTAAAACAGCTAGTGTGAGGAAGGGTGATCATATTTTCTCCCCTTTCTCAGTAGACAGGAAAGGAGTCATGGTGATGGTTAAAGGGCCCCCTACTTAGGAATGGCCTGCAGATCATGCCCCAGAAAACAAGACTTTGGAACAACAAAGCTGTAGGTAAAGCAGAACAGTTATCTAGGGGATGTGGAGACCAAGAGGAAATAGATGTGAGGCCTAGAAGGTCTCTCTCCCCTTTCTAATAGCTCCAATCCCATGGATAAACAGCTGTCCAAATGTCAAATTGCTGGCTGTAGGTCAACTTTAGCATCTTGTCAGGAATATGCTAATAGGTAAGGTCCCTCCAGGCCAGGAAAAAGGGCCTGTGTAGATTTTACTTTATTTTTTTTATAATGTTACAGCCCTTAAGTAAAAATGTTCAATTGTAAAGTTTTATAGTCTGGAAAGATTTTCCAGACTATAAAAAAAGCCCTGGTTGGAGGCTCTTCTAATTTTTCTCTAGCTTAACTCTATAAATTAAAAACAGAAAAGGAAAGAGTTGGCTAGTGAAAAGGCAAGAATCAGAACCAGTTATGTAGAAATCTGATTCTGGATAGACTCCTGATTAAAAAATAAACAACAAAATCAGATCTTTTATTGATGAACAAGTTTTAACTTAAAGTAAGATTTTTAAAACTTTCATTTGCTTTCACTGTAAAAGTAATACAATGGGATATTGGAATGGGAATTTTTTCTACTTAATTTATTTCTCTGTGGGTATGTTTTTAAATTTTTACCTAGTTATTTTGAAATGAAATAATGACTTTAAGACTATTATCCTTATCAAGATGTTTTAGGAATAAAATTATCTAGATATTAATTTTAATATAATACTGTTGAAAAACTCATGCAAAAATAGATAGGATCATGTCACAAAATTAAGTAAGGCTTGCTGACGTTTTATTATACAGAAATTGGAAATTAACTGATTTTTTCTTTAAATATCTTCCAAAGTAAGGTAACTCAAGTTTATCATGACACAAAGATGCTGGGAAAACAAGCTGGTAGAAAACCAGAAATGTGAAAAATAACTCTTCCAAGAGATGGAATAGATGTGCTTTCTCTTATTCCTTCTAAATAAAACTGAATGCTTCGAACTTTCTATATAAACAGGCACAAGAAGACTCTAAATGTTGCAAAGAAGAAGGCAGACTAGCTTAGGCTCTTGGGATCCAAGGAATGCCACAGTGATAAGTTGCTGGATTTTCGTTTTGTTTCATATTTACTTGACTTGCAGGAAGAAGCAGGTAGTCCAGAAATGCTAATGGGCACAGAAAAAAAAATCCTTCAAACCTCAAACACTACCACAACAAAAGCATCTTTAGCCAAGGGATAGATGAGAAAAGGAACAGCCCTAAAGGGTAGAAAACTTTCAGATATTAACCATTATGCTTCAGTCAGACACCACAGAAAAAATGGTGGTCATACCCCTACCTATGTCAGCAAAGGCCAAGTGGGGAGCCTAGACTTCTATCTTTACAAGACTGTAATGGGACACTCCAACCCCCTTCTATCCTTCCCATCCCTCATAATGTTGAGTAGGGAAGCTAGCACTTCCATCCACACCAGGGGATGTTCCACCATCTAGCAGCAATGACCCTCCCACGCCTCTACTGTGAAAGTGTTAGAGGAGGCCTAGTGGAAAGAGGAATACAATAATTTTTAGCAAAGAAACAAAAGGCATAAGAAGAACCAAACAGAAATTTGAGAATTGAAAAATACAATAACCAAAATAAAAAACTCAATGGATGGGCTTAATGTCAGAACTGAGAGGACAGAGAAAAGAAGCTGTAAACTTGAACTTAAGGATAAAATAGTAGAAACTACAACCCTCCCCAAACAATAGAGAAAATAGACAAAAAAGAAACAAAATAAAACAAAAGCAGACCCCCACAGACCTGACAACTAAGATAAGAGATCTAACATTTGTGTCACTGGAGTTCCAGAAGGAAAATAAAAAGAGAGGAAAACAATACTTATAGGAACTGTGGCCCAAAAGTTAACAAAATTTGGCAAACAGTACATATTTGATTTTTTTTTTTTTTTTTGCAGGTTTGGGGCTTGAACTCAGGGCCTCATGCTTGCTAGGCAGGTGCTCTACCACTTGAGCCACTCTACTAGGCCTAAAAGACACATATCTAATAGAATGCAGAAGCTGAGGAAACTTGATACAAGGTAAACTCAAAGCAGGTAAGTTCACAAATTCACATCAAACTACTGAAAACTAAAACCAAGAAAAGAATTTGAAAGCAGTGACAGAGAAGTGACACCATACCTATAGGGAAAAACAATTTGAATGACAGCAGATTTTTCATCAGAAAATATGGAAGCCAGAAGGAAGGATGTACCATTTTTCAAGTGCTGAAAGAAAAATTACTGCCCAACCAGAATTCAGTGAAAATATCCTTTTTCCCTGAAGAAAAAAAAAAATCAATATTCTCAGATTAAAGAAAGTGGTAAGAATGTATTGCCTCCATACTATCTGAAAAGAATGTCTGATTACTAGGTGCAGTAGCCCAAACCTGCAATCCTAGCTACTCAGGAAGTGGAGATTGGGAGAAATGCTGTTGAGGCCAGCCCAGGTAAAAAGTTCAAGAGACCCCATATCAAACAATGGCTGGAGCTCAGTAGTATCCACCTGTCATCCCAGCTACACAGTGAAGCACAAAGAGGAGGATCGAGTCCATGTCAGCTGGGCATAAAGCAAGACCTTATCTCAAAAATGACCAACACAGAGAAGGTTTGTGGAGTGGCTCAAGTGGTAGAGCACCTGAATTTATATTTGACAGTTAAAGCAAAAATTATAACACTGTCTGATGTAGTTTCAAATGCAAGTGGAAGAAATATTTAATGCAATTATATTGCAAATTAGGGAGGGTAACAAGATATAGTAGGAAGTAAACTGATAAAATGATAATACTCATAGATTGTGATTAGCTATGTATATATAATTCCTAGAACAACTGCTTAAAAAGCCTTACAAAGAGATACACTACAGATAAGTAAAAGTGGAATTCTAGAAAATGTTCAAGTAACACAGGAAACACAAACAGAACAGAAAAAAAACCAGCAAACTTAAGCTTCAACATATCAATAATTATACTAAGCATAGTCTACATATATCAACTGATAAATAAGACATTGGTAAAGTTGTTTAAAAAACACCTAAACTATGTGCTATCTGTGAGCTACTCACTTCAATTATAATGATAGAGGCAGATTAAACATAACAAAATAGAGAAGATAATAGGTTGATCTTACCTTATCCGAAACGCCTGGGACCAGAAGTATTTTTGATTTTGAACTTTCAAAAGATTTTTGAATGTTTGCATATATAACGAGCTATCCTGGGGATAGGACCCAAGTCTAAACACAAAATTCACTTGTTTCATACAGATCTTATACACATAGCCTGAAGGTAATTATATGCAATAGTTTTAGTGTGCCTGTTTTGACTGCAACCTGCCATGTGAGGTTTATATGATAATTATACAAAAATTAACTAAAACACATCTTGGACTTAAATGTGAAAGTATAGGCATTTTAGAAAAACAAAACAAAAACAGGAGAAACTCTTTGGGTTTCTCCCAAAAGAGTTTTTAGACCTGATATCAAAAGCAAAATCTAAAAAAGAAAAAAACTGATAAATTGGATTTCATCAAAGTAAAATACTTTGGCTCAGTGAAAGACACTGTTAAGAGGATGAAAAGACAAGCTATTTCCTGTGAGAAAATATGTACAAACTATATACCCAACAAGGAACTAGTATATATAAA